CTAGGAAACAAGGTCAAGAATCAACAAATGGGACCTCATTAAACTAAACAGCTTTTGTACATCAAAAGAAGCAACCAAGGAAGTGAACAGAAAACCCACAGAATGGGAGAAAAATCTTCACCAACGACACATCCAACAGAGGTTTAACATCCAGAATATATAATGGCCTCAAAAAAAAAAAAGAATTAAGAAAAGCAGTAACCCAATTAAAAGATGGGCTAAGGAATTGAACAGAGTTCTCAAAAGAAGTAAAGATGAAACATCTTAAAAGATGTCCAACATCACTAATAATTAGGGAAATGCAAATTAAAACCACTTTAAGATTTCACCTCACCCCAGTCAGACTGACTGGCTAAGATCAAGAGAACAAATGATGCCAAATGTTGGAGGGGATGTGGGGAAAGGGGAACACTCATCCACTGCTGGTGGGGTTGCAAACTGGTTCAGCCCCTATGGAAGGCAGTGTGGAGAACTCTTAGAAAACTACAAATGAACCTACAATTTGACCCAGTTATACCACTCCTTGGCATATACCCAAAGAACTCATCCTATTGCAGAGAGACTTGTACATCCATGTTTGTTGCCGCTCTTTTCACAATAGCTAAGAGATGGAAGCAACCTAGGTGTCCCTCAATTGATGAGTGGATGATGAAAATGTGGTTCATATATACGATTTTACTCAGCAGTAAAGAAAGAATGAAATCATAAAATTTGCAGGTAAATGGAACAAGAAACTGTTATACTGAAATATAACAGTAGTGAAGCAACACAGACTCAGAAAAAAAAATCAACATGTGTTCTCCCTCATATGTGGATCCTAGAACCAAACCCTGATAAGTGAAGTGAGTATGTATCCAGACATAACTACAGGAACCAGGATAATGAAAAGGAACCAGGGAGGTAAAGGAAAAGAAAGAACCTGAAAGAGAAGAACAGTAGGAAACAGGTGTTAATAAGGGAGATATGGATAAATATGGGGTTATTTTACTGGGAGGGGGGAGGGAAGGTTATATAAGGAACCTAGGGGATAAAGGGAAAGAAGGAGCTCAAGAGAGGTGGGGCCATAGGAGAAGGGTATTAGTAATGGAGAAATGGGGAAAATGGGGCTACCTTAAATGGGGAAGTCATGGTGGAAGGGTTAGACAATGCAAGAGATAAATAATGCCTAGCTAGTTTTTTAAAAACCAGAGGGAACCATATTAGTCCAACACCCTACTGACAAATTATACATAAAACTAGATCAAAGAATATAAATATATGTCTAGGCAAGGCTTATCTGAGGGCATTTGGTCTTTACCCAAGCTTTATCTACATGGCACATGGTAATTAAAAGTACCAGACTGGTGTAACTAACCTTATTGGATGTTTAACAACCATACTATGAGGCCTATACTAATTTGGTCAGAGGGACTTAAAGG